GAGAAGAGAATAGGAAGAACAAAACAGGAAGCCAAAAGGGAAGAAGGAGGCTGAAAGAAGGAGAGAAACGGCAAAGCGGGAAAACGGAAAGTGGAAAAGCGGCAAAGTTATAAAGCTGCAAAGGGAAAAGAAGCAAGGGGAGGTGTGTAACTAGTAAAGAAAGAAAGAAAGACGCAGAAGAAGACAGCAGAATCTAGAATAAAAGGTAAGCGAAAAATAAAATAATAAATAATAATAAATAATAAATAAATAATATTTATTAAATAAATTCCAAAAAAAAAGGGAAAGAATTACACAATCTCTCTCCAAGTACAATTAAAGACGTGGGTTACCACAACCATAAACAAAATAATGAGATAAGTAAAGTACAACAAAGATGACTTCACTAACTGCAAAAGGGAAAAACCCACAAGCAGCCAAAGGACAAGCAAGACGGGACTCTATTTGCAAACAGGACCTGCAAATTGAAGTCCAGACAAAGAAGGACCCCCCGGCCGAAGACTCAGTGCTATGCAACATATTAGCAGAGATTAAGAAACTCTCAGAAAAGCATGATGAGCAACACAAGGAATTGCAAACGGAAATTCAAAATATGAAAAAAGAACTGAAGGAAGAAATCGGTAAGTTAAAAGACGATGTAGACAAAGTTAAGAAAGAAAACCAGAGAATAATTAAAACCCAAGGGAAAGCCGAATCCAGGATAAATAAATTGGAATCCCTCGCACAAAAGTTAAATGAACAAACCGAACGACTGGAATTTAGAGAATCGGAATATCAACTAAGAATCCGGAACCTGCAAGAAACTAAAGATGAAAATGTGAAACAGAATATGATTGAATTACTAGCGGAGCTCTTGGACGTAAGTACAGAGGTAATCGGACAAGACGTGGATAGAGCATATAGGGTCCCAACAGGATATGCCAGAAAGCATAAAACCCCTCAAAACGTTGTTATAAGTTTTTGTAGGAAGAGCACGAGGGACGAAATTGCAAAAAAATCAATATTCTTCAAGGACCAAAAGGTAATAATCATGAAAGAAATCCCCCAACAAATTTTGGCGAGAAGAAGAAAATTTTCCTTTCTCACAAAGAAACTAACAAGAAAGAAAATAAAATTTAGATGGGAAAAAACTGACGGAATAACGGTCACCCTGAATGATAAAAGATACTGGCTCAACTCAGAGGAAAGTGCTAAGGCTTTCTACAACAACCATATCAAAGAAAGAGCAGCTGAACCAACACAACCAAAGTTCCACGACAATATGAGGAAAGAAAAACGTAACGGTAATAACAAGGAGTCAAAGACTGAAGAGGAAACAGAAGATGAAGAAGAGAAGGAGGAAAAAAGTTCAAATAAATGGCCAAGAGATCCACAAGAAGAAGAAAATGAAAGAGAACAAAAAAGGCTGAGAGAGTTCTCTCCGGAGAACTACCAACTGGTGGTGCCACAAGAAATGCTCCAATGGGAGATGCCCGAAAGCAACAATGAATAGAAGCGTTAAAATATATTCTAATAACATCAACGGATTAAACTCTCCAAGCAAGAGAAAAAAGCTCTTCAATTATTTAAATCAAAAAAAGTATGATCTAATACTACTCCAGGAGACCCATATAATAGATAGACATGTAAAACATCTGACCCAAGACAAGTTGGGAAGGATCTTTCAGGCACCTTACAGTCAGAAGAAAAGAGAGGTGGCAGTTTACGCCAAAGAATGGTTAAACCCCAAACAAGTGTTCAAGGATATACAAGGAAGATTTATAGGTATTATACTCGAAATAAAGAACAAAAAGATCCTATTGTGCAATATTTATTGCCCTAACGGGCCAAAGATAAAATTTATAAAAGAGCTGGCAAGGGAGATAAAAAAGGTTGAACATGAAGACCTAATGCTTATTGGGGACTTCAATGGAGTAGTGGATAGCACTTTAGATAAGTATCAAAACAAAAAAAAAGGTAGACAAAGTTAATAATAAAACTGGTTCATTACCAAAACAATTTATATCACAATTAGAAAAACTGCAACTAAAGGATGTATGGAGGCACCACAATAGTGTATCAAGAAACTATACCTTCTATTCGGGAAGGCACGATTCGTGGTCACGGATAGATATGGCATGGGCCACCAATATGTTAAATACTAAAATTAAAAAAATGGAGATAGTACCAAGGATCTTCTCGGACCACTGTGCTTTAGAGCTGGTAATAAAAGGATCGGACCCCCCATATCGATGGAGGCTAAATGAAAATCTGTTGAAAAAGGAAATAGATATAGAAAGGAATAGAAAACTACTAAGAGAATATTTAGATCTAAATAAAGGGGAAGAAACATCAATAGTAACACAGTGGGAAGCAATGAAGGTTGTTATGAGAGGATACCTAATTCAGCAAGAGATTGTTAGGAAAAAGGCGAAAAATAAAGAATTTGACGAAATAATGGGAAAATTAAATAAACATGAAGATTTATTAAAAAGAAACCCAAAAAACAAAAAACTAATATACACATCCAAAATACTTAAAAAACAAATGGAACTATTGCAAACAGAGAATATAGAAAAACAAATGAAGTATACCAAATTGAACTATTTTCAAAATGCCAACAAGATTGGAAAGTGGCTAGCTAATAAAATCAAGAAACGTAAACAAAAACAAGTGATCACAAAAATCAAAATGAATGGGAAAGAATATACCGAAAGTCAGGACATTGCAGAACAATTTTTTCTTTTTTATAAAGAATTATACAAAAAAAGAAACATCCCGATCGCCAATATCTCTAAATATCTGGGTGATTTAAAACTTCCCAAATTAACAGAATTACAAAGGAAAATCTTAAACGGTACAATTACTCCATACGAAATTGATGAAGCAATTCACAAATTAAAGCCCAATAAATCCCCGGGACCAGACGGATATTCCGCCATCTTTTATAAAGTATTCAAAAATGAATTGGCCCAACTTCTAAAGGACATATTAAATAATATATTAGAAAATAAAATAATACCAAAATCTTGGGAAAAAACCAATATAACTTTGATTCACAAAGAAGGAACTGACCCAACGGAAGTTAGAAGTTACAGACCAATATCGCTCCTAAACACCGATTACAAAATATTTGCAATAATAATGGCAGAAAGATTGAAAAATTTCCTGAAAAACTGGATCTCCAAAGACCAGGCCGGATTTCTCCCAAACAGGCAGATTAAGGAAAATATTAGAATAGTCATTGATGCAATCGAGTATTACGAAAAACACAATGAAAAACAATTAGCCCTGATGTTTATTGACGCAGAAAAAGCTTTTGATAGAATTAATTGGGATTACTTAAAATTATTAGTGAGGGAATTAGATATGGGATTTCATTTTCAAAATGCAGTGGAAACAATTTATGCAAATCAGGAGGCCACACTCATAATTAATGGAGAAGGAGGAGGAAAAACCATAAAGCTCACACAAGGCACACGACAAGGCTGCCCCTTGTCCCCGCTACTATTTATCCTAGTAATGGAGACACTGATTAGAACAATAAATGAAGACAAACATTTAAAAGGGCTGAAGATTGGCAATTACCATTTTAAGTTGAGAGTCTATGCGGACGACGTAGTTTGCATAACAGAGGACCCAATAAACAATATAAAAGATTGGCTTAAGAAAATAGAAAACTTTGGAGAATTGGCGGGCTTCAAATTAAATAAACAAAAAACAAAATTATTGGTGAAAAACATGGACCAAAAATCAAAACTTAAGTTACAAGAAATTTCCGGCATTCAA